CGATGTACACCTTGTCCAAGATGAATTCATCGAGGTGGGTGGTGCGAAAATCTCGTACTGTTTGGCTCCAGAAAAACATAAAAATCGATGAAACAGGCAAAAGGAAATGGACATGTGGATTAGAAGAGAGGGCGTGAAGTGAAGATGAGCGGTGCTCACATTAAGGTGGTTGAGTTTTACCGCACCCGGCAGAGGTGAGAACCCGCCCGTAACGAAGCTCGCCCTCGACAGGGTGATTTTCCCCTCATAAGCCGGTCCTATTGATACATTGTGTGATGGGTGGGGCATCGCCCGCCTAACAAACAGATATGTCAGTGTTGTTGATCCCGATACTCAAAACGGTAAGAGGAAAAGTCATCATTTCCCTTCTCAAAACATGAATTCTAGATATCAAGTCCTAGAGTGACGTCAACCTACAACCTACAAAAAATAGCTAGACCTACCTGATTTTTCAGGAATGCCGCCTTCAGTCTGGTGTGGAACCAATCTTTTCCTTTCGGATACTCTTTACCTAGATGGTATAACTGCTTGTAGACAGAGATCACTCTAGCGCGCTGGTTCATGCCTAGAAGAAAAGTCGAGGAATTACACAAGAAACGTAGAATTGCGAGCAGCCAGCAAATCCAGACGCCGAGAAAATGCTTCGCTAAAGTCAGGAATATTTACTGAGCGTGTGAGTCTTATAAAAAAACCTTCAAGACAGGAAATGGGCTTATGGCTTTTTGATCCTACTAGGTCCTGACAGTATGAATGCATTTCATTCTGCTATGAGCAGCATTGGCATATGGTGGCACCGTGATTCTAATACTTGACCGAGAGCGGGAAAAGGACCTAGTACGAGTCTATTTATTTCACTTGGAATCATGGAGAAATCTGAGTTGGTACCGCTCCCACAGAATATCACGTGGAGGTCAGTCCAGTTCGAGCCAGCACTCCTAACTGAGTTTAGCAAACGCGACCACCATGAAATGAGCTCCGATTCACATAGAAAATTTTACACTCGAGCTATATCAGCGCAAATTCATGACCACAACTAATAAGTTATTTGAGCAATGCATTGGAATATTCATCTAGAATCAAGGATGATGGTTGCTGTACTAACACCTTCCATCTGCTATTGTCTCCATGAATCCACAAATTTAAGCTCCTATTCAGTGTGATACATATTAGTAGCCAACACTTCCGCTCAAAACATTGGACATATCCTGCTACATATAAAATTTTATTTGGTAGAACATATAATCACCGATTTTTAAAGAAAGTCATTAGGGCACACAACCCATTTCGATCCAACCGCGAAAACTTCAGTCACAAGAACAGGTTCATCAATGAAAATGTGCATAACAAACTATGCCGCGACATGCCTCAGCGCAAAAATTCAAATTTTGAGACGAAATCACCACCCAAGAATAGTCGTGGCCACCCACAAAGCAGTAACAAATAACAAACGATAATCATAGAGCATTCTAAAAAAGGCTAACATGACGATAATGGAAACTTCATCTGCGAAAAGCCCTTCAATTGTACCTTCAGACGCACTCAAATGAACCAATAAACGTCCAAGCCCTCGAAACGAAAACAAGGAGAAAGGCTATGCCCCTAGGGTCAAAACGAATTCAAGGCTAATGTTGTGTGAAAGGTAAAGGTGACAGATTTAAGAGAAAAAAAAACAAAGAACAACAGCATAACTTATTCAACAACTTTCAAAACCTTTCCAATCGCAATAGTACGGCCTTCGTCGCGAAGAGTGAAACGACCCAGTTGAGGTAGCTCCTAAAAACAAACATCCATTTTCTGAGTTATTTGCTTCACATAAACTGCTCCTTTACAGAATGGCAAGGAAAAAATAGGAAAATGAGGAAGCACAGCAAACCTTGAAAGGTTCCAAGCAGAACGCTTCGGAACTCTCGATCCTCATTATACATTTCTCATCCTGTCGTACAAACCGGGATTTCTTCTTCTCACCAGTCTTTTTGTCAATCGTGCAGATGACCATCTGAATGACATTCGAATTGTTGGAGATATTACGGCGAGAATTCCCCGATCAACGGCACTTCTTGTTCGTGGTAGTCTTTACTTCCTTTTCTCTTTCCTCCTTATGAGTTTTCCTGGCAGAACCCTATGCAAATAAACTCTGGTCGCTGTCAAACCACGTTGTAGCCAAGTTAGGTCTACTACAACGAATACATCCGAAAAACTTAGGCTCTCATTTACACTGTTTTGAACACTAACTGTACATTGCTAAGGGGTTGATGAGCGATCCAACCAAAACGAGAACATCTCACCTTCACTGTGACCTCCTCAACAGCTGATTGAATGTGAAGTACGCATGTATATCCAGAAGCAATGATTGACTTGTGTTCCAAGATTACAACCTAATTATGATAGGGTTTCACGGCACTGATGAGCTAACTACAAAAAGCAAAACAACAAATGAAAACTAACCTCAGCATCGAAAACACGGCCAACTTTGCAGAGCGCATCAGCAGAGCAAATTATAAAACCTGACTGCAGCTCATTCTCTTCAACTCCTTAACAGAAATAATCAATTAAATTTTTTACCTTTCCACCAACCACATAATAAGCAAGTAGTCATTCCGCTGAATAACGATAAATACTAGAAACTGCCAAAAAAGTGCAATGGAAGAAGAGTAAGATGCAATGGAAAAATATTAGGGAGCGCATTGAAGAATAGAACGAGATTACGGTCTCAGAACAAGGAATACAACCAAGTGAAAGGGTATGTGCTAGCGAGTGTACAAAATAAGCAGCAACTTCAAACTTGACGCATTCAAAAATGATAACTTAGACCAACCCTTGAGTTCTTGACGTGACATTTATCCGCGGAACCGCTCGGTCCTCGTTCTTCAATATCGTCGTCCTGCACCAGATTTGAATGACTTGAACGGCTTGCTGAAATAAAGGCCACTGTATTGTACTCTTTGCAAAAATTTGAAAACAGGTCATTATAGCTCACTTTATTCGGCATCAGAACCAAATTCTGACCCTTTATTACCACACCAGATTCCATCTTGCCAATAATGAGGGTGCCCATATCCTGGAACGCAAGGTAAGTATGAATTATGACTTTGCAATTGTGATGAAAAACAAGTTCAAAACTCGAACTGCGTTACTATGGCTAAAGTTCAAGTCCGCTGGAATTGAAAATGGCCAGAAAAACGTTGGCCAGAATAAAAATTTACCACATAACAACCTCGAGGCAGAAGTAAAACAACTACAACATCAACTATAACTAAACATTCTTCTAACTCCACTTCATGCAATATTGACTAACATCGCACGACAAGACGCTCCGAGCTCTCCTACATTATCTCATGAATCAAACTTTCTTTGATTATGTCCTCGACTGTCACACTTTGGAACTTCGGCGAAAAGTAGTGCCACACAGGAGTTCCAATATTCAGCCAGCATTCTTAGCTCAAAAAGATGAAACAAGAAAGAGTGAGAGAGACAGAGCACAAACTCAAATTGATTATCAAAAAACGAGTTATTGAGATTGCAGTCATGGCTTAAGCTGAGAAAATTGTACAGTATTAGGTAAGAGATTGAGTTCTAACTTCAGCACGCCCATAAGTCCATAGTCAGTAGAAACGAAACTCCACACAAAAGAGTGAAAAGTAACTCACAGAAAACTTGTCAACAACGATGCATCGCACTGGGCCGTTAAAATCTCGGGCCATAGATACGAGATGATTGTCGATGTAGTCGATGAAGCATGGGCCACTACAAAGTGACTTGAACTTGAAAGAAAAATAAACAAGAAAGAAACAAGCCAGATAAACTCAGCAAAACTTGGAACATTCTGAAAAGCTCAAGCCTGTATTCTCACCTGTACCATCCTCCCTGCTCACAAGAAGGTCGGTCTTTTATGAAAGCACCAGTCAAACCAGAAACGGGAATGTATATCATGTCCGTTTTGGGGTTGAAACCACACTTGCGTAGATATGGCGTGAGTTTGCTTTGAATTTCGTTGAACCTGAACAGGAAACAAGCACATTCATCTTAAAGTAACAAACTTCTTCGGCTAATGGCATAGGCGAACAATTCTATAAATATTGTCTACTGATTTTTTATCCTTGTTTTGTTATTATGGAGTGTTCAAAATGGATTAATCACCGATTCTCGTCCCATTTCACCTGTGGGATCGTCCATCTTGTTGACAAGAATTACTAGATGACGCACTCCGGCCGTTTTTACTAACATAGCGTGCTCCCTGGTCTGACCTCCTCGATCGAAACCAGTTTCAAATTCTCCCTTTCGAGCGGAAATCACCTGAATCGTCAACTTTTTTAACACGAGAGCCTAACTGAATTCAAAAGCAATACAGAATCAAATTAATTAAAGACAAAAATCCTATCAACCGATGTTCATTACAAAGAAATGATTGGTAGCGGAAGGGTAGAGGAGGGTCCACTAAGACGATAGGTGGCCTCTTTCGCGGCAGAAGGCGCGCTATGAACGACGTGACAAGGCGCCGAATATACCTCGAAAGCCCATCCGGATCTCAATCGCGCTCACTGCTAGCAAAGCCGGTGCTGGGC